TTTGTCTTGAAGAATTTCTAAAGCTTAAAAATATTCTCGAAACACAGTCGGTTTTTAGAGAGGTCCTTGGGTTTATTAGGCGCACTTAAAACACGGAGAAAGCGGGTATGCGCCTATTAGGAGAATCCGAACTTTTTCTAACGAAAGTGGGAACAACGAATCCGCGTTCTTTAGGCACAGGGGCACACCCATACCGAACTTTTCGTCCGTATTAGAAAAAGAGCGACAGTCAGTCTAAAACTAACGCCTAACGCGGCAGTCTACACATAGCGCGAGAGTCGCATACTTCACGCAAACCTTTTGTCGGTTCTCGGTGTTGTCGAACATACATCTCCTCTCCTAAATATATTATAGTGCTACGTCCACTAATACATTAACTTTCATTATAAGAGCCCTGCTCTAGCGCACATATCTATCTCATCCTCGTGCGACAAGTTGTTATCTATTTATCTTTCTTCGACAGTGTAATCTAAGTGTTGGAAATATATAATTTATAATTCTGTGAATCACAGTGTTATACAAACTCAATCACCCCTATTATCTCAACGGAAATCAGGGGATCGATCAATTCGTGGTGTCGATTGTTATAATCGTAACGGGAATTTACGACTCCCGTTGACGTCTCTCCTCGCGATTATGTCTCCCCGCGATTGGTCGAAAATCCAAAATGCTTAATATTTTTAAATACCAATAAAACGTAAAAGTCCCTCTTGTGGTGAGTCCCTCGCTTAATAATCAGGGGATCGATCAACTCGTGGTGTCGGTTATTATAATCGTAACGGGAATTTACGACTCCCGTTGACGTCTCTCCTCGCGATTATGTCTCCCCGCGATTGGTCGAAATTACAATCGGGAAAAAATTTCTATCTTCATTTTTCCGATATTACACTAGCAACGGCGTCTCCCACTAGCAACTTTCCCTCGAGGGCGGCTAGCATCTTTTTCTAACCACCGATATGGAGATTGACCAATTAGCAGCAACGCCAAATTCCCTCACCTTCTGAACGAAGGCAATCCTCGACGAATCCGATGATCTCGTGTCCTCAGACACACCCCACCATAGCTTTCCTCTGCAGCATCATCGCGACGGAGAGTCATTCTCTCGTGAGGTCGTATTAGCGAGTTACTTAGTGTCTGTACGCTCGGTGGATACTCCACGTTTTCGCAAAGAGTCCGACTTAGGTTTTTGTGAGCACGTACATCTATCATCCCGTTGACCGCGGATTCGTTATCGAACCTAAGACCAACATCACTAGTATCGCGAGTGTCCAACCGCCGTGGTTGATTGCCGAGTCGTAGCATCCATACTCGTATTAACAGACCGTACCTTCGTTATAACACGACGATGGCCGATTCCAATGAAGATTCATCAAACGCCCACAACCTTATTCCTGACGCTTCTCCGACATATATGTACTTACAGGGGTAGGTATATACATATGTATTTATGTATTTGGTAATGTTAACAGGATTGAGAAGCTATGAAAAAAGGATTTAACAATTCCGGAATACATTCGATGTTTCTATCATTATAATCCATGCGTTAATGTATGAATAAGAACTTTGATTTATGAAACATCAACAGCATTCTCATATTATCCCACAAACTCCATGAGAAAATTCAAACCTTTAATGTATTTAAAATAAATATATATGTCGGAGATGAAAGGAAAACCGGAGCCTTCCCTTTGCAATTTTGAGGAAGCCTTCTAATGCTTTAGCCTAGATTTTATCATAACTGTAATTAAGCAATTGTCATTTGTAATTGTTTGATATTTGTGAAAAAGCGAAAGTGGGTTCGAGGTGACAACTGCTCGCCGAACGTAGCCACGGTCACGGGATAAACGACGCCTGACGAAGGTGTGGATCGGTTGTATCGTTCTCCCTAGAAATTACGTAGAATTGTACTTTAGAGATGTCGATGTAATGGGACACACGTTGTATTAGGAATCAATCTCCAGACAGAAACTGCCTAGTAACGGCGTTTGGATCTTTCTCGATGTTTCCAAAGAGTATACAACAAACTTTTGATAGAAATTGCCTAGCAACAACGATTGGAACCTTCTCGATGTCTCCAGCGAGCATATAACAAACAAATGCAGTCGTATAGCGAAAAAGATTTTCATCAGATATTCATTCCTGTGATCGCCTTGGAAAGTGATACATCGAGCAATTTACCGAGTGTCCCAGCAATTGTATTTTTGTGTTTAAAATTATTCTACGCATAGTAAAGAGTTATCCCGTTGACCGTGGATTCGTTTGAACGCCGGAACATTATTAATAGCGTTAATTAAATTCATTATTCGTAAAACCTATCAGTCGTTAATCTCATTATTCGTTAAATTTATTATTCGTAAGACATATTATTCGTTCCTCTTATTGTTCGTTAAACTTAATATTCTTTAATCTAATTATTAGTTAAACTTATCGTTTGTTAATCTTATCATTTATTAAATTCATTATTCATAATATTTTCTAAAATCTTGTTTATTCGCGTAAATATATTCTCTGTTTTGTAAAACAATGGCTAATTCAAACGAAGAATCATTACGCGCCTTAAATCCTAATGATAACCCGACATATAGATATGTACATACACATAAATGTATATAGCATGTGTCAATTTTAACCTTTGGTAGGTACGATTAACGATGAGATTCAGCTGTTATGATCTATGTGACAAAATATAAAAGCTGAAAGTAAAATAAAGGGTAAAATAAAATTCAATGTAGTAAGCCCTGAAAAGATCAAAAATTAAAAAAAAAACGCAAATATGTAAGTACAAATGTATTAAAAATTTGTATAGCCTAGCTCACATTATTAGAAGCTATGTTTAGGTTGGTAGCAGGCATAAAAAATAGATTGTGGATTTTTATGTGGTTATGATAAATACAAATATATGTTGGAGAAGCGTCGGGAATAGGGTTGTGGGTGTGGCGGATCGGTATCAACAGGACGCCGGCAGGTCGAAGCATCAGCGCGACGCAACACCTCCCGGGCGATCCGCGGGTACCAACCGTCAACACCAGAGGGCTACTACGACGACAACGAGTCTGTCTATCTCGCTAGCGGTCGAATATACGGGCACACGATACAAATACCGTACCTAGCGAGACTCCCTCTACGTCTAAGGCAGGGACTATCGGGCATAGCCATAATGATGAGTCCACCGGTAATCCCGGGACGAAACGCTCCTCATTCCCTTTTCACCTAGCTTCACCTACACCTCCTACATGGGCGTTTGATAAATCTTCATTGGACTTAGCTATCGTCATGGTACAACCAAGGTACGGGTTATTAACACGAGTATGGATACTACAGACTTGACAATCAATCGTGGCGATTAGGCACTCGCGACACTAGTGATAATGGTCTTAGGTTCGATAACGAATCCGCGGTCAACGGGATGGTAGATATCCTTGCTCACAAAATCCAACTCCAACGTGTAATACTGACAGATCGTACGGCGCTACTCTCTTCGTCGATGAGATCGCAAGAAGAATGATTTTTCGTCCCAATGATGCCACAGAGGAAAGCTATGATGGGGTATGTCTAAGGACATGAGATCATCGGATTCGTCGAGTATAGCCCTCGTTCCGAAAGTAAGGGAAATTGACGTCGCTGTCAATTGGTCAATTTGGGACAAAGACTGCCTGTCCGTTTGAAGAACCTTAATTACCAAAAAAACCCAGGTTTTATAGCGGCTCCTCGGGCTAACTGAACTTGTGCTGTGTAAGTGCCTCAACATCTGGTATTCATTGTGTCCGAAGGAACCGTTGGAATGTTTTACTGTCAAATACCTCTCTGGGTATTTCTTTTAATGAGGGTCATACTATCACTCCACACCTTTGTTAGACGAAGCGCCCGTCCCGTTGACCGCGGCTACGTTCGGCAACTGATGGTCGCCTTGAGCCCAAGTTTATTATCACTAATCGCAAACAAGTACAATTGGGTAGAATGACGGCAAATTGTTTAATTACAGCTGTAAACTTTAATTGCAATTTTACGGATTTTCCCGAAGTTCCAGAGGGAAGGCTCCAGTGTCCTTTCATCTCCGACATATACATTTTTTTTTTATTTATTTGTTGAAATTACAATCAATTCTCGCGTTGAGAATTTTCAGTAATTTTTCTGGCGTGGCGCAGTGACATGGCTGTTTATTTACAATAAGTTAATACTTATTATAGATAGGTAAAATTTATAAGTATTATAAGTAAGTGCATATGCTTAATTTGGATGACTAAATGAATCTAGCGTTTAGGTCTAGCGGGTAGTGCCTCTTTAGCCTGCGAATCTGGTCCGTCGTATCAAGTAGTCCAGCGATTAGATCAAGTAGTCCAGTGATTAGGGGGTTTCGGTGTTTGTTGACTCTTTTGCTATATCTGTCGCTGTATTTTGCTATTTCCTCTTTGACTGTGGGTATCTTGAGGTCGCGATGGATGGTTTAGTTGGTAACATACCAAGGTGCGTCTATTAAGGATCTTAGCGTTTTTGATTGGAAGCGTTGTAGTATTTCGATGTTGGAGTTACTTGCTGTTCGCCATAGATGGATTCCGTAGGTCCAGGCAGGTTTTATTACGGTCTTGTAGAGGGTAATTTTATTCTGTATGTTTAGTTTGGAGCGTCGGCCCGTGAGCCAATAGAATTTTTTTAGTTTGTCCTTTAGTTGCTT